TTGGCTTGAATTCCGCGATAACATTTCTATAGTTCATTCCAGCACGGTCATTGACGACATAAACAAATTTCATTATCTTCGTGCTTGTTTGCAAGGCAGTGCAGCCCTTGTCATCAAAAGCTTAGATTTTAAGGCTGAGAATTATGCTGCCGCATGGGAATTGTTGTGCAAGAGGTACGATATAAACGCTTGCTTGTAAACAATCATGTTCACGCCCTTTTCAATGTAAATGCCATCAAAAAAGAATCTAAAACCTTGCGTTACATAGTTGATGTCACAAATAAAAATCTTAAAGCTTTGGCTACGCTTGACCAGCCTACAGAAAGTTGGGATAAATATTTATATGATGTCAACTAAATTAGATATTGTCACAAATAGGGAATGGGAGGAATACAGAAACAATCGCAACGATCCACCTACTCTAGATATTTTTTTAACCTTTTTAACTAACAGAGCAGATCTTTTGGAACTGTGGCAAAAAATAACAGAGTAATTCTGAATCTAATCATATTCACAAATCCAATGCTTTATAATTTCTTCATAATATCATTTTCATGTATTATGCTTTCATGAGCACTATTTATTTAATTGTGATGCCTTCAGAAAGCTTCCTGTTGAGACGCGTATTGAAAAGGCTAAGACCTTCAAAATATGCTTAAATTGCCTTCGGCCTGGTCACCACGAATCACGCTGTAAATTATCACATTGCAAATATTGTTATCCAAACACAACACGCTTCTTCATCTCGATATTCATAAAAGCCTGTCGCATATGACAGCGTTGTGTTATCTGCTGAACCATCTCAGTCTTTAATTAACACAAACCATGTTATGCTATCCACAGCTTGGTCAAGGTTCGACGGCCATGGAAAATCACATGCAGAGTCTTATTAGACAATGGAAGCACAGGAAACTTTGTCACAAAGGAATTTTGTGCCAAACAATCTTCTTAAACGCTGAATTCAATATCAATCAACAGGTATCCACGAATTCATTGTCATGCTCTCTTACATTGGAGTCTTATTGTGGTGTCTACAGGACGGATATCAATTGTTTCGTTTTACCTAACATCACTGATAAATACATATATAGATGTGCATAACTTAGAAATACCGCCTGGGGTTTTTCATAGCCGATCAAATTTCAACGTGCCGTCATCCATAGATATCCTTGTAGGTGCGGACGTCTTCTGGAATGTGATCGGTACAAATCGTATCCAACTAGGCAAGCACAAGCGCCTCTTTTTTGAAACCAAAATCTTGGTTGGTTTCTGGTATTTTTCAACCTAGTCCCAAACAACATATATGTATGTTTTCAAACGACCATACCGACTTAACCCGATTTTGGGAACTAGATACAATTACATCAAATTATGAGTTCACTCCAGAAGAACAGGCATGTGAACGTGATTTTATAAATTCTACACAGCGTAACATAGATGGACGGTTTGTAGTTTATATGCCGCGACGTTTTAAATTCATATAATGCTGGTAGATTTCTTTCAGCGTCGATACTTTGAAACGTTATATATAGAATTTATATTTTTATAATCTGGGACATTTGAATGAAGATACATGTAGTAGTAATAAAAACACAATTCAATGCTACTTGCCACATCATGGCGTCCTTAAAACTAGTACAACCACACAACTACGTGTTGTATTCGATACACGTCCTCAGGCAAGTCTCTTAATGACATAAACGCGTAGGTCCTACTGTGCAGGACGATTTATTAGCTATTTATTTTAAACATAATAGCCGACATTGAAAAAATGTATCGGCAGATATTATTACATGAATCACAACGTCCATTACAAAAAATATTATGGATTCGATCCCTCCCACCCAATTAAATCATATACCAAATACACTTATTACAATCAGGCCGTTTCTAGCCACTAGATGTCTCACACAATTAGTATGATATATTCTCAAGTAAAACGCGCTATTTGTCATGATTTTTATGTTGACGATTTTTTGTCCGGTCATGATACAATTGAAGGCTGTATATCATTATGTCAAGGTGTTATTGATACACTTCATTCAGCCAAATTTAATTTAAGAAAGTGGCATTCAAATAATTTATTTATTTTAAATAGTATAAACCAAAATAATGAGATATCTGGTAGCGTAGATCTTAGTGCAAAAGAATGTGCAAAAACATTAGGTATTTATTGGAAGTGTTCAACTGATTATTTATCATTTTCTATTAATATTACACCGCAAGATAAAGTAACAAAGAGATTTATTTTGTCTATGTTTGATCCTCTAGGTTTAGTATCACCATTTGTTGAAGCAAAAATATTAATGCAAAAATTGTGGATACATAAATGCTCTTGGGATGAAAGGGTCCCAAAAGACATAGAAAATTTGGTCAGAGTTTATACAGTTTCTACCACAGTTAAATAAACTTGAAATTCCTAGGTGCATTAAAAACGACAAAACAAATAAAACAGAAATACATATATTTACAGATGCTTCGGAGAGCCATATTACATGCATATAATATAGCTAGCGATGAATCAATTGATGTCCGTCTTTTGGCTTCCAATAAGATTCCAATTAAAACCACCACAATTCCACGACAACTATGTGGCGCGCTCTTAGGAGCACGACTATTCATGAAGGTAATGACGTCGGTTACTCTTGAATTTAGTCGTAGTGTATTTTGGACTGATTCTACCATCGTCTTAGGCTTCTCTAAATATAAACCATTCGTGTCACCGAGTTTTAGAAATACAAGAAAATTGTCATTATTGGCGGTATGTAACTAAATCAAACCCGGCAATTTAGTGTCTCGAGGTGTTAGAGCAGATTTATTAGGTAATTCTTCGTTGTGGTAAAACCCTGCCTTTTTAAAATTAGATTCCTCTCAATGAACTAATTAATACACTTCCAATTTACGAAACAATTCAAACATTCCATATTAATAACAAGCTATCAATAAATAATAATAACACCAATTTAATTTCATCACTAATAAATAAATTTTCATCGCTACAAAATTACAACGTGTACTTGCATTTGTCTTAATTCATTAATAACTGCCATAAAAATGCAAGTAAATACACAATAACTTGTTTATTAGTTAAATAATACAAATGTTCTATTACGTACAGTTTTTCATTCCCTGTGATTACTATGTATAATGTTTATAAAAATAGACTGATTGACACCGTTTGTTGGTTCTGACTACCTCATCCGCGTTTTTTCTCAATATCAGAAACATCGCTTATAATGTATTCGAAATGCTAATAAAAAACACATATCTGTCCAAATTAGAGCCAGACATAATTATAATAGGCGGCACTATTTTAATCTTGATTTAATAGATTCAAGTTAACAGCCTTTGATGGGTAACCTACCAAAAAACGAGTTTGTATTTGTCAAATAGAAACAGGTTTTGACCAATGAATAGCTGACCGCAAAGGTAGAGGCTGTAAACTTATGAAATCATTATTTGTGTGTTTGTGTGTCAGCCACAAAGGCCGTGCATCTGGAGTATGATTTAACCAAAGATAGCTTATATTACTACAGTTATAGCACGTCGAGAAGTAAGCCGCAGACGCTGTTCTCGGACAACGGCACGACCTTTGTTGGAACTTTCCATGAGCTAAAATACAAATTTGACTTCGTAATATTCAACTTTTCATTCATTAATAAAATAAAAACATCATCTTAGGCAAATTGTATGAAGAAATGGCTACTTTCTTATTCAAATAGAAGCCATCCTAAATTCTCGCCCCCTCACCCTTCAATTATATCCTCTTACTAATCACTTCTTGTTGGACGATCTCTGATCTGTTTTAGCCGCATCCTGATATCGTCAATCGCCGATTGCGTTTCCAACGCAAAATGAAATCAACAGAAAACAAATCAATGTAACATGTTCGTTTATTATTTTGATTACTTCTGGGACGTTGTATTTTAAGAGACAAAACATCCAAACGAACTAATTTACCTTTTTGAATATATTATTGCGCGATGATGTTTTAATTTACACACTGATTTTTAACGCCGTGATTTATTTATTTTCATAGCTTCCGTATTATTCCAAAGTTGTAATGAGTTTTTTTGTTAATGATAAAATGATAACAGTCCGATCGATGAACCGACGTATATAAAATAAGTTAGACTAAGGCTATAAGCTTGTAAAGATATTACTACCAATTTTCATTTGATACTTTATTAACTTAGCTCGTGTTTCCAAGTCTCTAATGGTTCATAGAACTTTGAAAACCCATACATTTTAATTGTTTACAATTGAGAGTTCTTAATAACATCGTTACATAATTAAGGGTCAGATGTGGTCACCACAAACTTCTAATTACGAAGGCGACTCCGTGACTATCCAGAGGTTATACTGGGTAACAATGAGGCCAATAATCGACATCAGGTACTAACAGCCCAAGAGCCCACGACTGCCAGACATACGTCATTTTAATAAACGTGAAAGTTCTTGTATGTGGGTCCCCAACACAGGTAAGAACGAAACCCAAACATGAAACCTGGATCGTGGTTCCTTTGGCAGGTACCAAAGGTAACAAAAAGGTGTAAAAAATTTTCATATCAAATTCGTTATTTTAAGAAACTCCATATTTTCATATTTTGTTCGTAGCATTATTATAACTTGCGCTGCTCATTGCCAGACACGTAGTGTGGTTCCAACCCCCCGCCGGACCCCCCTAAACTATACTATTTTATAAATAAACTTACGTCATTTTAATAAAGCTGAAATTTATTAAAATGACGTATGTCTGGCAGTCGTGGGCTCTTGCTCTATAAAGTTTAAATGTTGCTGTTAAAATTGAACTTTGGCCAAACAAGTTATCGAATCACGATTATATATCTAAGGATTAATTCAAACGCTCAACAAGTGCGCGGTTACGTGATCAACACTTGTTTATTGTCCAACACTTGTTTTAATATTTGAAGCAGACATGAAATTAATATACTTTTTATCTTCATTTTTATAATAAATTAATGTTATAAACGTTGTAGGGCTCCAGTGCACTTAGTTACGGGCTCGGCAGGCTGTCGGGAAGGACGAGATCACTTTAGGCGTAAGTTTTATGGCAAAGATTATATATTGACAATATAAATAAATAAAATATTATTTATTGATGCCTTTGAACCTTTTAATTTAAATTAAGAATCATTAAAGTCGGTTCAGCTTTGGAACTAATTGTGATTACTAAGTCTCGGATTATTCGAGACTTAGTAATTACATACTTAATTCCACCTAAACAATATAACATATGATCCAGTTGAAGCCCCAATACTTTTAAGCGATAAGAAAAGATGTTATTTATAAGTCCTAGAAAAGAACTAAAAAAATGCTCTAAGATATTTTTGGGCCATATAGCAATTTTGTAGTTTTATATTCAAAGATATATTATAAGACAAAGATATAAAACAACAAGTATATACATACCATGGGTCAAATGATAAAATGAAATATGTTCATATATTTTAATTAAATTTAATTAATGTAACTTTTCCAAGTAACATTCCTTTAATTTGTGTACAGATAATTCGGCGAAATGGTCGGCGTTTAGATCGCAAGACTACGGCTATACTAAGTTAAAGGCCTACAAAAAAGGGCCCATTTATATAGAACAGGTAATTCTATAATATGACTAATATACATAATGATTACAACGATCATGAATACATATTGTACTACACTATAATACTACTTAAATTCGGGTAGGAAGAGAAAATGGTGCGAGTCGTCTATACCTCTTTGAATCACTTTATAGTCATCAACCTTTTCATATATTTTTATTTCGGAAAAAATGTGACGTACACAAAAGACTGAAAGATCCTATGTGAATAAGCATTAGTTATCTGAAATAAATACATTATTAAGCATATATATTATGTTGCTAAGGAAATAAAATACATAGGATTTCTATCACAATCCTTAAAGCGGTGCCTTTGGTAGATTCTAGTGTCGACACTCCACGCATCATAGGCCTTTTCAATTAACATATATTAAGAGAGGTAAGTATTGTATAATATCTTGAAAATAATGTGTTGGACCATTAATACGCATTACTAAAAATTCCCTCCCTGTCCGTTAACTATAATTCTGCAAATCATATATTAATGTTTTTACATTTCAGGTGTCAGCAGATCTTGAGGGGAAAGTTATTGATTCATTTTGGTTGGTCAAAAACACGTAGTATTAAATTATTCTATAATATTTATACTTATTTTTAGTAACGTATTCGTCCTTTCGTTCTCTATAAGGATTGTTTTATTTAATGCCTTGGTTGCATACCAAATATTAACTATGCATTTACTATTACCATTCCCTCTATACGTTGTAACTATCATAGCCAATTATAGTGTCTTAACATAAGCTATTTATGTAATTATAAGGTAGTGTGTAAAACTGCAGGGATTTTACTAACGTAGTTAATCTTAACATGAATAATTTAATGGTAAATATATGTATTTTACTATATTGAAATTTAGACCTGAATAACTGTATTAATAATGTGTAATAACACAAAAATATAATAATAACTTTCATTGAAATATTAACGAAGCAATTGCTTCAGTCTTTGGATGACGAATACCATTTTTGAGCGCAGACACGATTATGATTAATTATTATTTGTCACAGTATTATATAAAAGTTAAATATTTTTTTATAAAATGTTGTTTTTGTAAATTGAATAATTCTAATATATCTAAATATTTCACCTCAAATTACCTGGTATACTAATTATATTGAGAATCTTATTACAGAGTAATTGCTAATGACGATAATTATAGTCAGAGTACATACAATTTCTTGTAAATCATAGTCTGATTTCTAACAATATGGAACCTACCCATGCTGATGCACTGAGGCATAATAAATGTGATAAAATATGTGTGTGTGTGACAAAATTTATTTTATATTATTTTAGGAAAATTATTTTAACATATACACATTTAACATTATGATTTTGTCCTTTTATTAAATGATCCTTTTTAGTCTTTCACTTATCAAGTAAACTTGTTTACTTTTCCTACACAATACTATATAATGTAACTCTTTTATTTTGTATTATTTTTCATTAGTTTATTAATTTCTATAAACAGTGATTGGAAACTGCTGTGGTTATAGCTATTTCTTTTAGTTTGTTTCTTAATTTTACCCTGTCCAGTCTTATGAACCTTACTTTTCTTTTTATTTGTTGATTGTAAAGTAATTGGCGCTAACGATTTTGACAGGAGGCCTTCTAGGAAGTCATTTTCAGTGCATCCTTTGTACATTTCAGTCGCATACTTCAAATGTAAAAAGAAATTGACTGCTAATCTCAGATACACAGCTCCAGATACATTCCTACTATGGTCAAAGGGGTCTTGTATACACATTATGCCATTTACATTTAGTGGCTTATATACTTTACTTATAACATTCTTTTTATATAGTGCAAATTGATTTGGAACCATTTTAACATCTTTAAACAATTCTGCACTTAAAGGCCGTCCCAAATATGGTGACACAATGTTTTCTTTAAAATTAAAAGTACTGTAATATTCAAAGAACCCTCCTAAGAGTTTATACAGTGACAGATTATTCATGGATTTAAAATTGAAGTCCTCATTGAAACTTGTGTTCCAGTCATCAACCATGATTGCTTCTGTATTTCTCTGCAGTTGTATAACAGATGGTAAGACATTTATTTGTTGTAAGTAAAATATTACCATCATTGTTAAAGCATAATTAGGCAACAAATTAGTGCCGGTGATCCCATGCACTTTTGACCAGTATTTTATTAAAACAGCCAGATTCAGTGCATTTGGGTTACTTTGTAATAGACAAGCTATTAATTTACTATTTCTTACCCCTGAGATTGATTTAAAACTAATATCACAATGAGATTCTGTTGGTACATGGAAGCATTTCACAATGGGTACTTTTGCATTGGTTATTGCAAACAGTTCTTTGAAATTTACAGAGAACCTCATCAGTGCATGCTTTGCTTGCATTACATACTTCTCACCTGCTATCTTGAGATGATCTGGTATTGAAACATAGCAATCTGCATCACTAGTTTGTATTCCAAGACCTGTTACTATAGAGCCAAATGGCATTACTATGCAACCTGAAAAGTTATGGAAAATTTATACAGAGTAGTTGCAAAATATATTTACATAAATAAATGTGTAAAACTCTAATTATAAAAATGGTTATCTAAACTTGATTAATTTTGAATTAGATGGTCTCTATGGTCTAGTGGTATGCCACACCTCCTTACTTCCAATGGTCACCAGTTCGATTCCTAACACTCATAAATACAATGTTTGTATCTGTCTGTGTGTTTTCTATGTATAATACGTATATATTTACAAAATATGTACATGTGTATTTGTATCAGTTATCTAGTACTCATATCAAGCTTAAGACTAGATGATAGTGTGTGAATTATCCTGAGATCTTATATTATTATAAATATATTAAAAGTTTAAGTACATCAACAATTATATTGAGTCAACAGTTGTTTCTTTCCAAGATATTTAGCTTTTTTTATTATGTTGTTTTAATAATGGCATACCTAATTAAGAGTAAGATTTAAATATTTCAATTAAGTAGATAAATTGTCTCTAAAAATATTTAATAACATAGTGCATTATTATATTAGTTATAATTAATTAATTTTAAAGTATACATTACAATGTTGTAATTAATAAACTTGAGCACTATCATTGCCTGCTAACTACTAACTATGTCACAGCATTAGATTGGCTGGAAGATATAAGCCCAGCCTTGCTCACATTTTTGTATAATCATCTTTATTTTTTAATGTTACAAGACTGGTAAGTCTTGTAACATTAAAAAATAAAGATGATTATAATAGGTATTACATAGATGTAATAGGTATTACAAGTGCAATAACATATATATTTTAACATTATATAACATACATGTATACTTTTTAAAAATCTTAAAACTGAACAAAAAGTTCTATGTATAAAAACAATTCAAATACTGTAAGTATTTACCAGGCCAAACCCTTTGTAGGGATTGTTCCAGGTCTGAGAAAAGCCATGTCAAATTTTCCACATCATTCCTTGATAATCTTACATTTTGTAATAAATAGTTCACTTGTGATTTAAAATCTCCATGTAGCTTTAGTAAAGATGTACTCAAAATATCATCTATAACAAAAATATGCACAGTTATAGTGTTTTTATCAATATTTGCTACTATATTCTATATGTATAATAAAATTGTCTACATAAAGGAATCAACTATTTAATTACAAATAATACACCTATATACTGTAATGTATTAATTTGAATTTGTTGTTTCTAATGTAATATCAAATATTAACTATGATATAATTATTATTTGAAAAAGAAAAGAAAATTTAATTTTAAAATGACTTTTATACCTCCATTAGGTTTTGGGAGGCGATGGATATATCTATGTAATGGGGTGCTGTTTGGTTTACTTTTTTAAATTATTGTAATTAAGTTGGCAGTAATTGCCCTTTGCAGCTTCATGGGAGCATAGCAGGAACGTGAAACATCCGAATGACTTATGTACAGGCTGACGGATAACGCGTACTCACGGATATGATTTGTTCAAACCTTGATACAGACAGTAGTAATTTAGTCCTCATTGCTATGGAATAAAGAAACGATCGAGGAGTGACCGTGTCCGATATTCAATTAAAACTTAATTCAATGTATATAAAGTCAAATTATTTCAAAAGGTTTCTAAAAAATATATTTTGTTAGTTCAAGTCAATAGCGAAGTAAACTTACTTTTATATTCCATTATTTCATTTGAGTGAGAAGCTTCAATCGTAAATAATAACAAAGTGATTACTAGGTATAATTATGTACACCTTTGCAAAGTACAATTAAAATTGTATTCAAATCATAACAAGAAATATTTAATCAGATTAAGTTAGATGAGTTAATATAGAATTGAGAAATAACAAGCAGCTGCTTTGAGTTGTTGTTATGTCAATCCTATTGTTAAGTCAGAAGCACAGATCAGAGAGAGTATGTTATTGACATTTAAACAACTACTGTATTGTTAGTAGTATATTTTATCCACAAATGGATAGGCAAAGGTACAAGACATACTGCTTAATCTTCAGTAACTTTTCCAAAAATTCTAAATTCTTCAAGACGAGCTTGCCAAACCTTTTAGTTGATTATAAGATTATGTTCCATTGTTTTTCATATTTGTGTCAATAATTTTTATTCTGCGATAGTTGCTATGATGAAGTCATAAATTGGTTTAAAGGTAGTAGTACATTTGAATAATTAAATTAATTAAACAACATACAGAAAGACAATAATTCGTGTATTAGTTGATTCTAGTAATGGTACGTTATACGTTACGTATGACAGGTATATTGGTATAGTGTTTATGATTATGTGAACACTAGGATGTGTTGCCAGATGAATCTAATATATATTTTAGAAAGAGTATTATAAGAATGATTAAGAATGAGAACATAAGGAGAGTGAATATTATAAAAAATAGTCTTTTAAATTTTATTTCTTACATACTACAGTAATTCTTAAAATAAAATCTATTATCTATTTAAATTTGTTCATATGTTGGATCAAATTAACTGTCAGGAAAGTCTAATTAACATGATCTAAGAGTATATATTTACTATAAAGTAAATACTCGTTCATCTTGTACACATTGACACATGTACTGTCTACTTCAAATGTAACAAACTGAAGGTGAAGGTATTTTTAACAATGTCAATTTTTGTTTATTCAATTGTTATTTCTAACGGATATAGCTTCTTTAGAAGCTTTGTAGCTTATTATTTTATAAAATTCTTTAAAACTCCAATCGTTACCTAATGATCAAATCATGTACCAATACTACACACCACAGGCCATACTGTTAATATGTATATATTACAAATATTAAATTATTTTACGTATCATACAAAATTTCTTCCCTTATGGTACCTACCAAAGTATAATTTACACAAAACGAAGTACTAGTATTTGTTAAATGACAAGAACGCGAACTTTATCGTTAATTCATAATACATATTTAATGAAAAAAATGCTGATAATTTGTTTTCACCTATTTATGTAAGTACAAAGCGTAAGTCAAAATTTGAGACACCAGGTTAAAATCATACACCATAATATCTGGTCTCGCGGTTTGATTTAGTATACCTCTTGCAGAATATATAAAATAAAAGTATTAAATTCAAAGATGTCAGAAAATAGATCGATCTATTCATATCACCATGAGCAAAGCTTTAATATTCATGGTGTTAACATATTTAAAATGATTTTATAACAATAATTAATAAATCACTATGTTTGTCATTATATATTGGTCACTATTTAAAATCTAACACTGAATGTGAATATTTAGTTTCATTTTATATTAATAGAAAACCAACAATATTTTAAGTCATGAATACAATTCTATAAAATGAAATTATAAAAAAGACAATAATTATAGCTTAATATTAAAATAGAGTTTATCTACTACGATAAAATAAAACTCTGACAGAATGATGTTTACATTGGTTTCATCGCGGGATATATGGTTAAGTTATAGCGTGGTGTGTTTCGTATGGAGCCAGAGCTGAGATTAAGGCTACACCGTGGAAATGGTGCAGCCTTCAATTCTTATTCACTCGATGAGTCACAATGGTAACCATCACGATTGCTGTCAAGAAATTTAATTGTCTCAGCTATCTTCGCCGCAGTGTCGTTATTACAACTTCTTGTGTAAGGTGCCAGTAGGTGCGTGAACCAGCTCTGTAATACAGAGACGAAAAATTTGCCGAATTCCTTGAAGGTACCTATGTTGCCATTGTTCAGCTTAATCGATACCACAGCCCGCTTAGGATTGTGGCAGTATGTCATTATCATTTGAAACTGAATACTGATTTGTTCGAGTTCAGATTTCAAAATCTCCTCCGTTATTCTCGCTTGTTGCTGTTGCAAATCTAGGTTCATAATTCCTGGCATTTTAGAAGCTTGCTTTCTCTTCCATATTGGTTTTGTAACCTCGCCCATATACTTCTCTTTTTCTTTCTTTGAATCAGGGTTTACTTTTTCTTCTACTTTACCAAGTTTAATTTTCAGCATACTTTCAAATATTAGCAGAATAATATTTCGCACTACTGACTTCCAATCCGGATCGATGATGTTGTTTATAAATTTCGGGAACAAATTGGATCTAAACTCTGGATGACCTCTCTCTTTACTAATTTTGGGTTTTTCTAGAAGAATCATTTTCAGGAAGTTTTCACATTTGTTGGGCTTGTCCTTTATGTAAGCACTTGACGCAAACCTGAAGTATTCCTTGATATTACTGGCGTGCCGACTAGAGACTGGCGAAGCAATGTTATGGCACTGTTCAAATGGATCTTGTGCGCACCATGACGTGGTGAAACGCAACCCTGGCGTGTTCTGATTTTTTATGTTATCTCTGTATCTTTCAAATCCTTTGGGTAAATTATTCGGATCTTTGAATAAATCTTTTTTCACCGGTTCACCTAAGTATGGACAAATAACCATTTCCTCGAAATTAAACCCAGCATAGTATTCAAAAAATCCACCAATTAATTCTGATATTGAGGATCTGTTAGATGATTTCGGGAGCCCATCAAGTTGACTCATGAATCCTGTATTCCAGTGATCAACTATATAATCATTTTTGGGGTCTTGCTGGAGCCACATTATAGAGGGGAGGATGGGGTTGGTACATTGTTGAAGGTAGAAAACAATGAGCATGGTGAGGGCATAGTTGGTGACTTTACCACTGCCAGAGACCTCATGTACTCTAGCCCAGTATTTAATGAGAACAGCCATTGGAATTAGTCTTGGGTCAGTTCGAAGGAGAAAATTGATTAAGACGCTGTTCCTAGCACCAAGTTCTGTTTTAAATGAGACATCACAGTTGGTAGAAGTGGGGTTGTGGAAGAATTTAACTATTGGTGTATTAGCGCGCGGTATGGACAAGATTTCGGAGAAGATTTGAGGATATTGGCGAAGGATTCGTGTCGCTTTGTTCACAAAATTTACATTGGGAATACGATATTGAGGTGGGACTTTAACGAAGCAGTCAGCATCACTCGTCTTGATTCCGAGCCCTGTCGGAATGGAACCGAATGGGATAGCTGCGCAACCTGTGAAGTAGAAATATAAACGTTTTAAGAATACTGTGAAGAAATATTAAGCATCGTTTTGTAACGTTATTATATATTGGTAAGAATATTATTAGCAGTATTTAGTCAATTTACAAAATACTAAAATGGGAAACATTAGAGCCATCTACTCTACTCTACTACTAAAAAAAAACATAAAAACCCATATAGTTCACTGCTTATTATAATTTACAATGTGAAAACAAAACATTAGAACTGTGTATCATCAGCATGAGCTATTAGTACATCAACATGTTGCTCACAGTGTAGATTCGGCAGATTTACTCTGGATCTGAATTTAATATACTCAGGTCAATAATATAAATACAGATTTTAATGTCAGTTATTTCCATTTTTCAAAATAACTTGAACATTTACTACATATTACTTGTGACTACAAGTAACTTTGTATGGGGTGAAATAGGGGATTTCACAGTCTTAGAAGTTATTTTTTAAGATAAAATACAGTCCATATCCATCCCCATGATACAATCTAGGCCGAACAGATAAACAGATACAATCGCATTTATGTTAGTTTGGTATATTGCTAGCATACAATTTAAAACTATAAAAAGGGGCCCCATTTCAAAGTCATATGATCGACATTAGTTTCCAGAAGGTAGAACAGCTGATTTACAATTTTATCATATTTAATTAAAACTAGAACTTTGGACTTATACATGCCTGGCCACTCAGTCTGTAAAGCACTCTCCAAGTCAGAGTAGAGTAAACTAATCCTGAGAACTTCCTCCTGTGTTAGTCTGATCGCCAATAGGATATTATCAACCTGCTGTGAAAAGTCCCCAGAGAGATCAATATCTTTGGGGTGGATGATTACACCTGAAAGTTACATTTGTCATATTAAAAATTAAAGTAATTGCCTTCAGTAAAGAACTTGTCAAAATACATTCTTAACTAATGATTGCATTTTAAAATAATAGTATCACTAATATATCACCGAAACACAGCTTAGAAAACCAGTTGTCTGACGGCTGAAATAGATGAGACAGATACAGCCCCGGATCTTCATATTTTTTGAGGCGGAGCAAAAACTAAAATAGGCTGTCCCCCTAAAACTCCACGCGCTTCCTCTCCGGCCAAGATTTTTTCAAAATACATATACAATTTATCTAATTGGTATTGCTGTCAATTAATGTGGTTTTTTTAACTGGTATATCTTTCATTTTCAAATGAATGAAATTGAACACAAACAATCTACTTTTATTTACGGCCATCGCCGTCTGTCCGTGGACAAGTTGTGAAAGGTGCGTCAAAAATGATAAGTTGTGTGAATACACAACTTATCATTTTTGGCGCACCATCCATTCCACGCATCTGCTAAGTTCCACTCAAGGGCCTATGTTGCCCCCAAGGCGCCCTTAGATTTGGGGCTGGGCGGATATTGCGTTATTATAAGACTCGAGATCCGTAGGGCTGTTTTACATAAGGTAAAAGATATACCTAGATCGACAGTTCTGTTGTTCTTCCAGTTACGAAAAAAAGTAAGTTATATGCTTTAAGGGTGTTTTCCTATGTGATGGGTTGAAAAAATCGATTTTTTTTTTCATAAATTGCTCCCTTAACATGTCTAGAATACGGTAGTAAAGCGATTTTAGAAAATTCGAAGTCGTTTTAAAGATACAGCAGGTAAAAGAAAGAGCGGTTCGGAGCGGTGAGTTGGCAGTAAGAGACCGGGCCTATTGTGTACCGTCGGCTTTATACCTGGCCTCCCTTTTATTAATATATTTGTTTATACAAGTTTAGACACGTTTCTACAGACTTAAACAGAAATTTCTATTGTTATAATATTTTACCGAAGTTATTTTAGTCTTGGTTGAACTTCGAAGAGAGCAACAGCTACAAATTATTTTTTTTCATAATGAGTGGACGGAAAGGAAGTACGAGTGGATTGGTTCTTCTGATGAAAACCCTCAGCATCAATTTTGTCCAGAAGGCGAAGACAGTTGGTGTAAATGGCGTAAGGCTGAAGCTAATAATGAACTGGACCAATTTCATCACGATAAACCACCTCTAATTCCGCAAGTCCAAGAAGCTATCAAACCGGTTTTCGAAGATTTATCGAAAGACGAATTATTAATTCGTTGTTTAGGAGCAGAGACACAAAACAATAACGAATCTTTGAATTCTTTGATTTGGACTTTCGCTCCTAAACATCTTCATTCTGGTCCCAAAGTTGTTGAAATTGCTAGCTACTTAGCAGTTATTATCTTTAATGAAGGTTTTCAAGGTATTTTAAAAGTTATGTCGATTATGGGATGCCCTGTTGGTCGTGAAGCCCAAGCGTATGTTGAGAAACGGGATGAAAAGCGAATCTTACGCTCTGAGCGGCGCGTAAGTGATGTCGTTAAACAAGCCAGGATTGACTCAAGAGCTGAACAATCTGCTTTAAAAGAGTTTCACGAGGAAGAGGAAGGAATACTCTATGGACCAGGCATCGCCGATTGAGAGTAAGTTGATATTTTAATAGTTTTTAACGGACTTGAAACTTTAAACGCGTTTTTCTCAAAACTGTGTTTTTCAAACTTTCCTCCATTGTATCTCAGAAACGGCTGGACCGAATTACTTGAAATTTACAGGGCACACTCAATATATGTAAACGCATGGAATGAACTATTATCAATCGAAAATTTTCAAAACTTCGATTTTTTTATAGCAAAAAACAAAAAAAAAACGCCTAATTTGCAAATTTTATTTCAAATGTCTATCAAAAATCCAATTTTTTTTATATTCATTTGATTATAGGTCATTCCGTGCTTTTAAGCCTACAAATTAAAACGCCGTTTTTTTTTTTTTTTCAGATAAGCCGATCAGCCGGAATCGTGGAGGAAGTGGGAGCTCTTTTTTTCGAGGCGGGGGTGTTCAGAGCGCTGTAACTCTAGTTTGACTGAATATTTTTAGCTGAAATTTTATATTTATACTGTCCAAATATGTGTTAATAAATGATAAAAAACTTGAAGCTCTAAATATTTACTGGTCGTAGAAAAAAAATCCTAAAATATCCCTAAAAAACAGGCCGTCACATAGGAAGACCCCCTTAATATATTGTTTGTATAAGAAAGCTAAAAGGTTATACCCATATTACACTACTAGCTGATCCGCGAAAATTCGTCTGCATCACATTTACTGGATATATATCATGGTATTTCACCCAATACACATATTTTTTTAAAAAGTAGTCTATGTCATTTTAATGTATAGCTATATTATTGTAGATTCATCAAAAGCCGCTCAGTAGTTTTTAAGAGACAGAGTAACAAACATCCATACTCACAAATTTTCGCGTTTATAATCTTAGTAAGTTGCTATACTCTTACTTTTTACAATAATGATAACTAATAATAATAATAATAATAAAATCTCAGTATAATTGACATAGCAGCATATAGACACAACCAGAGCTTGTGTTATAGGTACTAAACAACTCATACAACTACATAGATTTTTTTAAATACCATACATATATATATTCATACCCAGATAGATAAAAACAATAATATTCAAGAATATAAATGTTTAACTTCAAATTAGCATTACCTTTCTCTTTACTGCGAGGAAATTCCCTCTTCCTGTTATTATTTTGTCTGTTATGATTCTCCACAGCTACTGCACTGTGTGGCTGCACTGTGAGGAACGATCCATAGATGGTAATTCTTTTCGACTCCTTTATCGCGCTCTTCGCTTCCATAGAATTCGAGAACGAGAGCGTTGCAAACTTTTGATTGATTTTGTCTATTTTCACTTTACCAAATTGTGTAAATGTACGACCTAGATCTTGTGGTTGTGTGTATGCAGGATAACCTTGAAAAAAAAAACATTATTACTTAGTAAAAAACTTCAAAATTAGTAAGTTCTATTTAGTCCAGTGCTAAAACAATTTCGTCATTTTATTACATACATACATATTTATTCTACCACTCATTCGGTGCGTTCGGATGCAATATATTTATATACGGTTTATTGTCAAAAAACCTTATAGTGAAAATGTTAGTAACAGGTTAATAATAAAAATTTATGAGAAAAATATAGTACCTTTACCAACTTTTCAATAAGTAATATTTAAAAGTGTATGTAATTCAAATATAGGCGATATTTGCAATTTTGAATCGGCTAAGTCATCAAGTTCTTTTCCATTTTATTTACAATAAAAAAATAGGTAACAATCATACCATTGATTTTATATACTCACCAGAAACAAGTACCATGCAAGGGTTGCTTGGTGCGTCTGGCCCGCGATCCCTTGATGCTTTCGCGACTTCCATTATTCATGGATATATTCTCTTACCTGAAACAAAAATTTTTGTCTGATGACCAATCAATAAATATTTTCTTCTATGTATCAGTTACATCAAGCAAATTAAGGACTAAATTGGAGTCAGGTCGTATCAACATTTATACAGAATGGCTCTGAAATTATGAATGAATGGGCGTTAAAAATAATTTGTACATTAGAAAAAACAACATATTTATTAAAATGTAAATGACATTGTAATAATGAAAGATTAGATTTCTTTTGTAATGGATAAGATTAAAAAAAAAATTAAAATCCAACAGTTCATCTTTCAGTGAATTTTATTAAAATACGCTCAGCCCTTTACAGTAAGCTCACATAATCAATTCGAACGAGACAATGCTTCAATCGAAAGCGTCGTCAGCACGGGTCGTCCGGCCTGAACGTGAATATCAGCCCATTCTTTCTAGTGAAAACGAAACAGACAGATACAGTTTCATAGTTTCAGAAATATATAGAGGTTAAAATTTTTTTTAATCTCACCTTGAATGGTACCGAATAACTATTTGGAATACGTTTTTGATTGTTATATGCACTATTAAATACAAACAACGAAAAAATAAAACACTATTAAAATCTTATATACATATCATAACTTAAGAGGTCCAATTATAAGACCTTGTTATAGCATAAACAAAGCACATTAATGCTTACACTCACATATACACTACGACTAAGTACATATTAACAAATTGTGACAGCGGATATTATTGGTGATAGTAAAGATAATGCGATACAATGACTAATGTAATGACCGCTTTAGAAAATTTGTCATCTATTACGAAAATGGGTCAATCTTTCTTTATACGTTGAATAAGTTTTTATTGATTTGATGTTATGTATTGGAACTAGTATAATAAAGTGGCAAGAGCTCCACCGACAAGAGCGTAGCTCTTAAATTATGAATGAATAATAAGAGAGAATTATTGGTAGTGGGGAACTTTTTTTATTAAATAATATTTGCCGCTTTCTTTGTGGCAACATATTTTTTGGCCTGTCTGATTATTATTATTATCCAGTATATGTATTCCTCAGTTTCTTATTTATATATTTATTATTATTAAAATGGTAGCTCCATTGCTAGTGATGTCTAATCTGGTTGACCTTCGTTCTTCATGTAAAAAAACAATGGAAACGAATTTCATTTATTAGGAACTAGCTGTTCCAGCGACCTGACTTTATGTACGTCTTATTATCCTCCATTAATGTATCGCACGAGTTAATGCAATCGGGTTCACTGTTTATAAACTGATTTTAATTTAAATTTATTGAAATGTATAAGCGTGATTATATCCGGATGTTCTAATCTCACTATCTAACCAATATAATATGTCGCAATACAAAATCTAATCTTATAGGGGAATACCCGACTTAAGTTTCATAATATATATCGTTTAATTTTAATGAATGCAACGCTGAGTGAAACTTTTTTGAGTAACTGATTTCTTTTCACTCAACGACTTTCACAAAAAAAAAAATTTACGTACACAATTATGGATAAAAAAAATAAAAACACAATAATAAACAAAACAAAGATATATTCGTATTCGATTTATAGATAGCCCGCTTCTTCAAGTAGAGAGGAGTTAAAGGGTTATAGATACTGTCATGAAGAGGCGTAAAAGTATTTTGACGAAACGGAATGGGATGCTACTTGGGTTTAGCGAAACGATCACATTTATCTTTTTATAGGCACTTGGCGAAGTAATAATTAAATAATCACATTTAGAAAAAATACTATTTTCATAATTTCCGATGTCTAGTCTCCAATATTAACATTACATTTTAAATAGATAAATTAAAAAATATAATGATTTATTTTGTAAGATCTGTGCTCGCGTTATGCGTGCAATATCACTCGTGCGTTGCTATTCTGGAGAACTAAGATGTCATAGCACTTACGACTTATTTTTACTGTGGACTAAAATACTTAATAGTTTGGCTATGTTAGAATATCCACTACATTTTTAATCCCTTCAACTAAAACAATGTTGTATTATTTAACTTATTTAGTGAAGCACCATCATCACACTATACAAAAATTTTAAAAAGATGTATTCAAAACGCACAACAAATAGATAATACTAGATATATAACCCACTCTAAAAATATATGCAGGGCCGCTTGCTTAATTTTTATACAATATTGACAGTACAATAATAAATATATGACATACACATAATTAAACATAATGACATAGAATACAATGACTTAAATTCAATTGCAAACCTATTTAATAAATACTTCATTGACATTACAAATATTAATAATAACAAAATACATAGACCAAATAAACATAACATTATTAGTAACAGTAAAAGCATGTTTTTAACGCCAGTGACAGAAGAGGACATTTATAAAATCATATATTTTTAAGCATTAAAAAACACAAATTCAACAGGATATGACTGTATAAAAAAAACATTTTAAAAAATGTGCATCATCTTTAGCACATCCATTAACTTATATAATTAATTTGTCTTTCATACACAAGGTGATTTTTTAAAACGTCTGAAATACTCAATAGTTAAACCTTTTTAAAAAGGCAATCGCAATAATTTAGACAATTATCATCATTACCTCCAGTTCTGTCTAAAGTATTTGAAAAAGTCATGTATAATAAACCACTATAATTTTATAATATCATCAGACATTTTAAAACAATGAACAATTTGGTTTCATAAAAAACAGATCTACGACACTTGCATGTTTTAGCAATTAAATATATAACTGAATGTCTAAATGAACGAATCCCCTACACACAACTTTTTCTAGATATGAGTAAAGCCTTTGATTTCGTTAACCATGACAGACTTCTTGATAAATTATATTGCTATGGTATTAGAGGTGTAGTACTAAAATGGATCAATAGTTACTTAGAAAATCGACATCAACGTGTTGAAATTACTGCAATTAATATGATAAATAAAGAAAAAAATGACGTTTAGATCTCAATTTTTTTTTTTTTTTTTTTTTTATTTTATTTTGAAAACCAACAGCGAAATACAAATAATAACAAATAATATGTACTTAAATATAAGGCCAATTAAAGGTTTTCTCACAATTACAATATTCAGTATTACATCACTAAAGTATTAACATATTATTGTTCTGTTTATCCACAAGTCTAATTTATACAATATAATGCTTATACCATCTAATTTATGCAAATTTTACTAGTTAGTTTCTACGAAGTAATAACTGTGTAGCATTAGATTTAAATGTTACCTTTTTTATGCTGAATATATCGATTTCACTAAAAACATCGTTATACAGCTTCGGTAGTCGTATTCGTGGCGCGTTCCTTGCGTAGTTGGTGTATGCTCTTTGTATGTGTAGTAATGGTGGAGTGTTGCGTCGTGAACGTTTAATTGGTACATTGTATGATATACTCGATACTAAATCTGGACAATCGAGACGTCCGTTTACTATATCATGTAATAAACAGATATCCGTCAGCTTACGTCTATCTTCAAGTGTCAATATATTGTATATGTTTATAGTTATCCTTATAAACAGCTGAATTTGGCTTACGAAATCGGTAATTTAGATTTTTTATAAATATCTTCTGTAAACGTTCTAAGCGATCTTTGTGAATATTATACTGTGGGAACCAAACCGTACTAGCATACTCGATAGTACTTCTGACATAAGCGTAATACAAAATTTTTATGGTGTTAATATCATTAAAAGATTTACTACTTCTCATTATAAATCCAAGATTTCTATACGCTTTATTGGTAATTTTATCAATATGTTCTGTAAATAACATTTTATTATCTAAATAGACTCCTAAATCCCTACTACCTTAGATCTCTTTATAGGGACATCATTAAAATTATATAAAAATGTAATAGGGTTAGGTTTTCTGGTAAAACTGATGCACTCACATTTGCTGATATTTACTGTTATTTTATTATCAGAGTAATAACGAAATAGAGCTCTTAGATCAGATTGTATTTTTATGCAGTCTTCTAATTTGTCAATTTTAAGAAATATATTGTCATCTGCGTACATTAGATGTTTCACGGAAGTAAGACAAGTGGGAATATCAAATATGTAAGCATTATAAAGTAGAGGTCCTAAGTGGGAGCCTTGAGGAATGCCTGACGGTATCTCAATAAAATCTGATCTATAACCCCCAATCACAACAGCCTGAGAGCGTTTGTTTAGATACGATTCAATCCATCTAAGCAAGTCCCCATGAATTCCCAGAGTTTGGAGTTTTCCCAGAAGGATCAGATGATCCACGCGGTCGAATGCTTTCTCGAAATCCAGTGTAAATGACGTCAACTTGACCACCTTTATCCATATTAGTTAGGATATAATTAGAAAAGCATGTCAAGTTGGTGACATTGGAACGCTTTTTAAGGAATCCATGTTGAGAATCTGGTAGATATTTATGTATGACTGGATATATGAAATCAAGAACCAGCCTTTCAAAAAGATTGCTCACTGTATTTAATATTGATATACCTCTATAATTTTCTACATTTATTTTGGTTCCTTTTTTGTGTATTGGTACTATATGCGCTTTTTTCCAAACATCAGGGAATATACCCTATAAGAGACATATTAAAAATTTTTGTTAACGGGAGACTTAGAGTTTTAGAACAGTTTCGCCAAAATATCGGTGGTATACCATCACATCCAGCTCCTTTTGATACATTCAGATGTAATAAAGCTTTTCAACTGCTGAAACAGATATTGATAATCTTGAAATATTGTCTTTATAAGAGATAGATTCTTCCGCCTCAATTGTATCGGTTGAGGGTGACAGAAATACACTTCCAAAAATTATTAAATGCGTCACAAATTAGTTTACCGTCTGTAAACTCATTTTTGCCATATGTAAATTTGTTGGATAGTTGGATCCGCCTCGTATAGATTTAATATAAGACCAGAATGCTTTTGAACTATATTTAATTGCTTGTTCGGTTCGCTTAGTAAAACTTGAGAAACAATTCATCTGTACGCGATGTTGACGTTT